CCAGGGAACGTTTTCTCCCAGAAGACACCAGCGAGCAGAGGACAGTGTGAGTCCCATCAAGAGGCCAGAATGGAAGGGCAGAGTGACATGGTGCTGGTCCCCAGCACCACGCAGCACCACAGGAGTCTGTGGTGGTTCAGTGCGGAGTTTGTCCAAAGGCTGACAGGGTTTGGGCAGTTTGCATTCTGCAGGACACAAGCAAGTATGGCCATTTTTGTAGATTCAGAAAAGGGGTAATGGTCAAAAGATTGAGAAAGTTTTGAGCTGTATTTTTGTAGTGACAGCTGGCTAGTAGGTAAAAAATATTTCAGTAGATCCAAATGATGTGTTTTCTGAGGCTAAAAGAACTCTGAAACTTCTTCTGTTCAGCTAAGACAGGAATCCCTTAATGTTGTTATTATCTACTGTCAAGTGAGCCCGAAACCATGGTGAACCCACAAGTACAACAGAACAAAATGCTGCCTGGTCCCACACCATCCCCATGATTGGTTGGGGTTGGGCTGTTGTGACCTGTAGGGTTTTCATTGACTGATTTTCAGAAGTTGACTGCTGGGCCTTTTTCCCTTATCCTTCTTAGTCTGAAAGTTCTGCTGAAAGCTGCTCAGCATCATAGCAACATGTAAACATCCACTGACAGATAGGAGACACATTGGCTGGTTTTTTGTATGGGATAGAATGCTACCAAATCCATGAACAGTCCTTACGTATTCTTCTAGCAAATTGTACCCATTGTCATTTGGTACAATAGCCAGGGAGACAAAAAACAAAGACAGCTGCTGAGGAATTTCTGATGCACTAGTGTATGTGTGTCCACATGGAAATCTAAGACTGAATGTATGAATGTGTATCTTAAAAAGTATGACACTGACTTTTCTGTAATTATGCCATCACAGATTTTATAGGACTACACTTTCTTTAAGGAGCTCTGGTAGCGTAGTGGTTATGAATTGGGCCGTGAACCTGAAGGTCAGCAGTTCGAAACTACCAGCTGTTCCACAGGAGAAAGATGAGGCTTTCTGCTCCCATAAAGATTTACAGCCTTGGAAACCCTGTGCAGGGTTGCTATGAGTTGGTTCCGACTCCATGGTACAAAACCACCACCACCACACTTTCTTTGGACTTGACATGCCCAGTTCGATACTGCAAAGGGCTCTGTGTACTTTAAAAACCCCAACTGTTGAATTCATAAGCCTGGGTTGGGTCTTAGTAGATTCTAAAGGGGATCCCCATTTGGTTGTCACAACCTTCCATAGGTGGCTGAAGCAGCTGGAAGTTGTGAATGGCTATGTAGAGATCCATGTCCTTCATTGCCTGCTGTGGTGTCCACAGAACTTCCCTGACTGATTCCCCGCAGCAGATCTCTGTTCTTCACTGCCTTCCTCTGCAGCTGATTTCACCATCACTTCACAGCCGGCTGGTTGCAATTCTCCTCCTTCTCTACAGATGTTTAAGAAGCAGGAATCAAAAGGCAGAAGGAGGAGCGAATGGATTGGTGAAAATGAAGAGAGGAGAAGGATAAAGCCAGGAATGAGCTGAAGATTTCCTGAAATGTCAAGTCAGAGGGCCTTTTAAACTGTGTTTGGAACTGTTAGATCAGGAAGAGAAGATGAGTAGCTGCTTTCTAGCTTGTGGGTTCGCTGTGGGGACCAAATGAGGCCGTGTCATTAAAACTCCAGTGTCCTTCTAAACTCTGGACCCAGTGGCCTCTGACAACTCATCTTCTCTAACGGCACATCGGACCTTCATGCCTCTGTGTCTTTGTACCTGCTGTTCCTGCAGCCTGGGACACTCTTCTTCTCCACCTGGAAACTTCTTATCTTAAGACCCAGAGCACATGTTACCCTGTCTTTGAAGAGTCAGTGATAGTATTCTGTGTTCCTATTGGATTTGTCACACTGTGTCATGGCTATCTGTTTCCACATCTGCCTCCTCCAGCTAGACCTCCTTAGTCTTACCAGTATCTTCCTTAGGATGGGGGTGCTCAGGAAATAGCTATTTGAATGAAATGAGAAAAGATGTAAAATACATACAGAAACAAACAAGTGTCCAAATGCCCACATTGGAACAATGTGAGATAGAAAATGATGCAGGTAGAATGATTTCTTAGAGATTTAGGAAAGAACTTTATTTTATTGTACAAAGAGTAACCATTGATGTTTACAAGTTTGAAACATGTATTGGGAAAGATACTTTGTTTTTAGGAAAGGGAGTGGGTGAAGCTGGCCCCACAACATAGCTTAACTTCCTGAAGGATCTCCAAGAACATCACTTAGCTGCACAATTATGCCTAGCTGCCCTTCCCCGACAATCTGTCTGTTAGTCTCCGCCTCAGTTAGACTTCTTTATGAGCAGTGAGACACATGACTTCTGTTTTCTTGAATTTTAAAGTTTTCTTGAGTTCCATGGGAGAGGCTCCTTCCAGGTGTTATTTGTTGATCAACTCCTCCAAACTCATGGAATTCAGTCAGACTTTTATGTCCAGTGAAAATTTAAAGTAGAATCAATTCCTAGGAATCCCAAGACTAACAAAATTCAAACTAAATCAAGAAACAAATTCTAAAACTGTAAAACTCCCCAAGTGAAGTCTGCAGACTATGAAGCCATTATTTCTCAGCTTCAAGCCCAACCCTTCTAGTTTTGGCTTTGTGGTGTGGGGCCTGTGGAGTCTGCAAGTCACTAGTCTCCTTTGTTAGCCACTCCCTGTCAAGCTCTGCCAGTAGGGCACACTGGAGGGTTGCTGTCCCTTGGCAACTGGCCTTCGCCCTGATAGTGAGAGTTGGTTTGCCATTTTCCCAACACTCCACTCACCAGCCTCCTGGGGCCTCTTCAGAGACATCCTCAGCAGCTGGAGCGCCCCCTCCTCATAGTTCTGCATCCAGCTCCAGGACCCCTCCACAGAGCTCCTGAAGCCCTGTACCAGCTAGCACCCCTCCTCAGAGGGTGACTCCCAGCTACTAGGGGCAACCTCCAAGCTTTTGAGTTCTGATTTTTCCAATCTCTTCTCTTTGTTTCCTCAGTTCTTGAGGTGGTAGCTGTGTCTTGCAGTTAAAATCATCATGATACCCCAATATTACCTCTTTTGTCTCTTTTGAATTCTCTGATAGCTGGATAGCAATTCTTGCTATTAAATTCTCACTGCTAAAATAAATGACATGATGTTTTTCTTGTGATTGGACCCTGACTAATAGGGAATAATTCTGAAAATAAATAAATCTCAAAGAGAAATAAGTAGAAACACAGAACAGAAAAGATATAACTGGAAAGAAATACCTGACAATAAGCAACTCTGAAAATAACTCAAATACTAAATATTTCCAATCTTACGAGAGATTTTTCTGAAAGTTTATACGATATACAGCTCAAAAGCAAAACAACTCTGCAATAATTAAAGATAAAATGATGAAAAACTAAAGTGAACATAAATAGAAAATTGTTATAAAAATAAGCAACTCAGAATCTAAAGTAACTGAAAATAAAAATGAACACAAATAACTCTAAAACTAATTCTAAAACTAACTCAAAAGAAAGAAACACTCCTAAAAAATAATTTAAAACATTTTACTCTGAAAATAAATAACTCTAAAATTAAATAGAGCCCTGGTATGGTGCTGTAGGATAAGCACTGGACTGCTAACCACGAGGTCGGCTGTTCAAATCTACCAGCCGCTCTTGGGAACCCTATACAGGGTCGTTGTGAGTTGGAACTGACTCAGTGGCACACAACAACAAAATTAAATAATTTTTAAAATTCCAGTCAGTTTTTAATAGTTAGGTAAGTAACTGCAAAAATAAATAACTCAAAATAAACAAATCTGGCAACTAAAAATAGAATAATTCTGAAAATAAGTAACTCAGTTATTCATGATTGTAAAAATAATGAAAAATGATTCTAAAGCTGATTCATTTGAAAATACATAATTCTTAAAACAAAAGAACTACAAATGAGTTGTAAATGAATAACTCGAACTAAATAATCTTGAAAAGAAAATAGGTGAAAGCAGGATCTTTAAAACTATAAAATTAACTAGAAAACAAACTAAAATTAAGTACAAATTAATTGAAAATTAACTAATAAGTTGTCATGTGGTGCTACAGGATAAAGCACAGAGCTGCGAGATCGGTTTGAACCACAAGGTCGGCTGTTCAAACTCACTAGTAGCTCCTCAGAAACCCTATATGGGGTCGCTATGAATCAGAGCAAACTAGATACACTTAACAACAACAACAACATCTAATGAAGCTACAAATAAAAAAGTAAGTAACTGAAGTAATTCCAATATATTTTGAGAAGTAATAAATTGAAAGGAATTTCAGAAATTAATTTGGAAAGCAATGCTCTGAAGAGAAACCATAATGGCCCTAAGTAACTGAAACTCTGCATCAGAGGTCATAGAAGAACACAGCACCTGTCTGTTTCAGTGGGCTCCGGCTCCTCTGAGGCTTGGGCTAAGGCGTTCTCAACTGCACTCAAGGAGAAAACTTGGCAATGTTGGAAGACTTTTGGGTTGTCACAACACGAGGTGGTGGGGGTAGTGTTACTGGCATCTAGTGGGTAGAGACCAGGGATACTGCTAAACATTTACAATACACACAACAGTCTTACAACAAAGATGTATCCAGCCCCAAATGCTGAATTATGAAATAAATGTACCAGCACTGAGCAGCCCTGGGTCAAGCCATCTGCAGGTGTTCAGGGCCACTCTGCCACCTCAGCAGGTAGGGCTGGGAGGAGTGAGCTCAGCCAGAGGTGGGTGCTACACCTGGAGGTTCCTCAGACTCCTAGTTGGCAGACCTGGGCGCCCCTCCCAGGGTGGCCAACCCATAAGCATGGGACCCTTTGCTGCTTTCTGCTTAAGGGTGGGAGGTGGGCTCTGCACCCACTGCAACCTCTTCCCCAATAAAGATGGCTCTGGAGTGGCTCCAGAGAGTCAACTGCCCACTGACAGGTGATAACTCGGGGGTTTCTGTGGAAGGAGTGTCTGTCCTTGGGGAAGAGGTCCTCAGGCATCCTTCGGGATGAGCAGACCAGTGGACATCCCTGCACCCTCCTCAGCTCTGTTTGCTGCCCTGAAGAAAGATCCCAAGAAGAAAATCAGAGAAGCAATAGGAAACAAATTCACTTTCTTCCCTCTTTCACACTCACCTTTCTTTCTCTACAAGCTCGTCTTTTTCTCCCTGTTTGCTTTCCCCTGTCTCCAGAAAAGATTTGGAGGAACAGGTTTCATAGCTGTCGTCCAACAGGAAAAGTCCTGAGAGCTAAAAGGGGTAGAAGGGGACAGTGATGAGTATTCCTACTTGTGCAAGGCCCACAAGGAGGGGTCAGCAAGTTTGATGTCTACTCAGCTCCTGCCAGGACCACTCAGGCTCTCAGCAGGAGCCCCCTCATCATGATCCCAAACCCACACATAGCTATGGAAATGGATGATGAGGGGACCACTGGGCTGGAGGCTCTAGCTCCACTTTGAAGATCCAGTGGCCTCAGTTTCCTGGGTTGTGACAGGTCCTTACGTAGGGAAGAGGGCAGGGGTCAAGGAAGAGGCAGCAGGAGGAGTTCAGGAATAGGAATGAGAGGTTATGAAGGCGCTAAGCAGGAAGTAAATTACACTCAGAGCGCTGCTGTCTTTTTCCAGAGTTTCTGCACCTTCACACTCTTCAACGGTTTCCATGGCGATAAGCTCCCGGTTGGAGCTGCCTGAGGAAAGAATGGGAAGAATTTGAGCCTCTGTGGGGATGCAAATGGGCAGAGGGGTCCCTGTTGTCAGTGGCTGCAGACAGTGGACAGTGTCTGTCCTCAGGGGCTGCTTCTATCCCCACCTGGAGCTCCTCTCTCCCCTGACCTCACACTGCACCTGGGCTGTGCAGGAGAGGGGCTGTGATCTCTAGGTAGGCCCTTTTCTAACTCTGAAATTCTGTAACTGTGATGTAGAAGAAATACCCAGAGTGTTCCCTCCCTAGTCCACACCTCTGTCTTCATGCTCTCGTGAAAACCATCATTGTTCTAGTGAACACTGGTGTCCTCCTGTCTTCCCTCCTGACCCTTACCCTCCTCCCTTTCCTGACCCCTTTTCTCCCTCCAAATTATTTTCTATTTTCTGTTTCCTTACAGTCAAATCCTATTGCTCTTTTATATAGCAAAATCAGAGAAACAAGAGAGAATCTCCTGCCTCCTTTTCAAGGTCACATCTATAAATCATCTATTATATGCTCAGGGGTGTGGTAGGCACAACACAATAAGGACTTGCTCAAGACTGTGGTGGGTCAGGAGCTGAGTCAGGGCCAGGACCTGGGTCTCTTGACTCCTACACAATATTCCCTCCCCTCATCCAAGCCCTTTTAGCTATAGCTCCCTGGACTGCTCCTTTTGCTCTATGTCATTTCTATGCTTAATCCCTTCCCTCTGGATTCACTGGCCAACTATACCATTGTAGAGGTGGCAGCATTCAACAGACCTCAGAATGGGTGCAGAGTCTGGCAGATCACAGCCCTGTGACTCAATGAGAGACCCACTGCCCTGTGGGACGAGCAAGGGCTTTGGAGTCAGACCTGACTGTGACTCTGACTTGCCACTCATGAGTTGTGTGATCATGGCTAAGTCACTTTATCTCTCTATGGCTAAGTCTCCCCATCTCTATGATGAGGATTGTTGTTGCTGTTGTTGTTAAGTGCCGTTGAGTTGGTTCTGATGCATAGCGACCCTGTATAGGGTTTCCGAGGAGCATCTAGTGAGCTTGAACCACCAACATTGTGGTTCAAACAGACTTTGCAGTCCAGCAAATTAACCCACAGTGGAGGATAATAATATCTATTTTGCCTGAGCATCAATATCTATTTTGAATGATAAAGATAATATCTCTTTTGCAGGGTTAGTGTGAGAATAGGCACCCTGGTGGCACAGTGGTTAAAATGCTTGACTGCTAACCTAAAGGAAAGGTTGATCGTTTGAATTTACCAGCAGATCCTCAGGAGAAAGATGTAGCAGTCTGTTCTCATAAAGATTTACAGCCTTGGAAACTATGGGAGAAGTTCTACTGAGTTAGAATTGGCCCTGGAGGCCAAGATGGCCAAACTTCATCTCTCATACTTCAGACATAGTGTCAGGAGGGACCAGTCACTGGAGAAGGATATCATGTTTGGTAAGGTGGAGGGTCAGAGAAAAAGAGGAAGACTCTCAACGAGATGGATTGGCCAGGTGGCAGCATCAATGGACTCAAGCGTGGCAACAGCAGTGAAGTTGGCCCAGGATCAGACAGTGTTTCATTCTGCTGTGCATAACGTCACTATGGGTCGGTACCAACTTGATGGCACTTAACAACAACAACAACAACAACAGCTGTGAGTTCTGTTTTTGGGTTTTGTGTGAGGATTAACAAAAATGTTTATAAAGTGTCTGGCCCATTCAGTAACTATTGTTATTGCTATGATTTTGTTAACAGTAATTACATTAGTAATACACAGAGGGTCTCAGAACAGCTCCACAAGCTTTATGTGTGCTATTATTACTCACATGTGGGAGAGGTGTGACTGCCATTGTCTTCCTCCTCATAAGCACCTGAAGAGGTAACAGAGCATAAATGTATAGATGATGTTATAGAGAAACACAGAGTTAACACATACACACAGGAAACCAGGAGTCAAACTAAATACTCGGGCTACTTGTGTTAACGAAGTGATAGTTGCATTCTGGGAAAGTGAATAGTATGAAAGTCCCCCACCCATGTCCAGCAGTGTGGTAAGGTAATGAAAGTCTGAGTATATGGGGCACTCCCGTTCAGGTACTAGAATAAACAGCAAAAGAAGGACCAGATGAATGGGAAAGCTGGGCCATGAAAACTCGTGTCCAGAAGAACCAGAGAGTGTTTTGTGTCCCCTCAGCAGATGATCTTTATAATTCAGCTCACACAAAGCCTAAGTGGTTTAGGGAATTTAGTTTTAGCATTTAGTGCTTGAAATTCTAGGGTTTTTATTCTGTTTTAGCAAACAATAAAATTGAGTTAACAAATGAACTCATTAATGAGTTCAATTTATCCCAATCTAAACACACACTTTTGGTAAATTGCAAATTTTGAAAACAATGTCATAACAAGATCCTTTTTCCTTTCTCCTCTCTAAATTTGGATTTTCCTTTCATATCCACTAGATGGTGGAATGGAACCGCTGTAGATATGAGTGCCTGGTAGCCTTCACCCATAGGTTTATAGGCAAAGGATAGCTTTGTTTTCCTTCAATTAGATTCTTCTCTTTTCCTTACAATTACACGTTACTTTTTTTTTTTTAACTGTCAATGTTTAACTTTAATAGATCTATAACTTCAACAGATTTCATAATTTAAGTGGCCAGGTACATAATTTTCAAAGTAAAAAGATCATCTTTACCAGTGCTAAAGTTGCCCTTATTCCAATTAAAGCCATTTCACAATGTTCCACAGTGTAGGATAATTAGTTTGTACTTGAAACAAAATTTTTATTTTAAAAGAGCTCTTGCATGCTAAGAGATGACAACTTAGTGCAGGTCAGCATACTTTTCTGTTAAGGTCCAGATAAACATTTGACTTTGCTGGCTATATAACACAATCTCTGTAGCATATATATATAGATTTATCATTTCAAAACATAAAAACCTATACAAAAATAGCCCAAAGGCTTAAGTTTGCTGACTTACACATACCGTACTCATTTCCAATGCTACCACTTGCATGTGTGGCAAAAACCTTGATGGCTTTCACAGATTATTTTAATAACCTAATCACTTCATGAAACTATGTATTAAGCTTTAGATCACAAGTTTGCTTTTCCAATATTCTCAGTATTCCATTCCCCTCCACCTGAAACCAACTTATTTCAAACACTTGTCAAATAACCTCCAAACTTGTGTAACTTGAAAATAAGATTTTTATAGTGCGAGAACGTGGTAAAGCTAAGCAAAAAGAAACTGAACTGTTTTCTGGAAAGTGTCACTTGTATTTATCCCAATAACAAAACCACAGAATTCACTGTACAATGTTGATAAATTACTACAACCTGGAAACTGACCATAGTTGTATTACTGTTAGAATATCCTGCAAAGCATACTACTAATAAAATTTTCTGGGCTTTCTGCAATTAATTTATAGATCTGGCTTAAAGTGTTCAGACTAATGAAATGTGTATTTACGTGTTAATCTCAGAACTATAAAATTTAGGTTACAATTTATTTTCTAAGTGCAACACAAGAAGAACTGCATGTACCTGGATGCCCTAAAAGGTCACTAATACACATGACATTCTTAACCTTTAAACTCAATACCAGTTGGGCTCTAGCTGCTTTTTTTCCCAGTATTTTCTTTTCTCTTTTAATACCTATTGGTTCCTTTCAGTGTTCTTAAAAAAACAAAAACAAACAAAAATCCAATTTACAGTTATTTAGGGTTTGTATGCAGCTCCCCCAAACCATTCAGAGTAAACTTCTATTGGTGGAGTCATCTCTAGGCATTAGAAAAATAAATCAGAATAGAATATTAATGTCCTTCCACTCCAAACCCATATCAAAAGCCCAAGTGTATTTATAACCCAGAAAATCATGTGTCCTGTTTCCAGTTTCAAAATAAAACAGCTATATGTATAGTAGTACCCAATGACGTTTAAAATCTTAAAAGAAGTCTCAAAGAATTTATCTAATAAATACATCCTCAATTATTTCAATGCAAGCTGAAATACCTTAATTAAAATCTCAGCTGTTGTTTCTATTTGAAAAGTGTCAAGAAATAAGTTTACTGAAATACTCCATCATACACTTTAGGATCTGTGTCTTATTAGAGTTTCAAGTATTTATACCTGTTGTCAGTAACAAGTGGCACAGTACGATTAGCTTTCATGCTCAAAACCTGATTTGCTAAAGACTTACCAATTGCTTGTGTCAATGTCTACCCTTAACATTCATTGCATTAAGAATTTAACATTTGTAACTTAACACTCAAGACACAAATCCTTTCCAAATGTAATTCAACAACCTGTTTTAATAATCTCTATAAGGGAAAAAACTTAAATGTACAATGAATTACTTTGAATGCACACACAGGTTAGAAAATAGGAAAACACAGTAAATAGGATCCTATTTGTTTTTTTCTAACTCCTAAAAAGTAAGCATGAAAATAACTTTTATTTTTAGTTATTACTCACCAATAAGAGAAAGCTAGGTTCACAGTTTTAGCTCTGGACAAAATGAACTAAGAGGCAAATTTACATCCATTAGATACAACTAATGGACCAAGTTTTTAAAGTTTGGGCTATCTTGAAAGTTTGCAGCATACTCGAAATTGCTTGCTGTGTTCCCTTGTGACAGACTGCCAGCAAGCAGAATCATGTGCAGTGTTTTTATTTAATAGCAAGTGTTTTCCACAGCATTGCTTGAAATCAAGTGATTTATAGCTACTGCCATATGTTCAGAAATGAATTACTCACATTTAAACTATGAATTAGGAATACATATGTTGCTTTCTCAAAAGGAGTTAATAGTCCTTATGGATTAATTAATACTTGCCTCTGGGTAGATTTGTTTGTAAATATATAAACCTATATTAAACATTAGCACCAGTTCAGGAAATGCTCAGCTTTATAAGATTCAAAACACCAGCACAAGTTTTATCCACCACTAAACAATAATGATCTCTTCCCTAAATCATCAGACTAGTGATTAGGTGAATAAATCTAATCCAAA